TTACCATTTTTACTCATTCTTTTTGACAAATAATTCACAGAATATTTCATGAGCTATAATCATTTTTTTGCCATTTTTAATCATTTTGACATGCTATCAAATAATTTCATGGTTGTTAAAATTCATAATTTTATGAGCTATAACCCATCATTTTTTGCTATCTTTGGTTGTTTTGACTCATTGGCTTATAATATTATAAAGGCCAAAATTTACGATTTCATAAGCTATACTCCATAATTTTTTTCCATTTATCATTGTTGCAACCAATTAGCAAATAATTTCACAATACCAAAATTCATGATTTTATAAACTATAATCAATGATTTTTAGCAATATTTAATCATTTCCAGTTGTTATTAAATAATTTTATGAAGCAAAAATTTACTACTTCTTAAACTATAATCTACAATTTTTTTTCATTTTTAGCTGCTTTGACGATTTGGCAAATAATTTGAGAAGGCTAAAATTAATAATTTCATGAGTTACAACCCACAATTGTTGGCCCTTGTTAGTCATTTTGACCTATTGGTAAATAATTTCATGGAGACCAAATTTCATGATTTTTAGAGTTATAATCCTGATTTTTTACCATTTTTTTCTTATTTGAACCCCTTTGGAAATTAATTTCGTTGAGGCCAAAATTCATGATTTTATGAGCTATAAGTCATGATTTTTTATTGTTTTGACCTATTGACAAATAACTTCATTGATGGCAAAAAAATCATGATTTTATGCTATAACCCATGATTATCGAACACTTTTAATCATTTCAATCCCTTAACAAATAATTTCGCGGAGTCCAAATTTCATGGTATCATGAGTTATAATGCATGATTTATGGCCATTTGTAGATATTTCGAACTATTGGTAAATAATATGGCAGATTCCAAACTTTACAATTTCATGGTCTACAACCCATGATTTTTGGATTTTATTAATCGTTTGAACTATCGATAAATAATTTTATGGAGATCAAAATTCACGATTTCATGAGCTATAACCCATAATTTTTTATCGTCTTTACTCAATTTGACCTGTTGACAAATAATTTCGTGCAGACAATAATTTATGATTTTGGGAGCTAGCAACGATTTTGGGTCATTTTCAGTTATTTTAACTCGTTGTTAAATGACTTAGTGGAGAGTAAAGTTCACAATTTCATGAGCTATAATGATTATTAGGCATTTTTAGGCATCACGATACCTTACTAAATAAATTGGAGGGGGTCAATTTTCATGATTTCATAAGCAGTAACCCATAAATTTTTATTATTTTTAGTTGTTTCAACCCATTAGGTCCTCAAGTCCAAAAATCATGATTTCGTGATTATAACCCATGATTTTTATTTTTTTCATTTCAACCTATTGGAAAATAATTTCATAGGGACTAAAATTCACAATTTCATAAATAATTACCCTCAATTTTTGGCCAATTTTAGTCATTTTGACCCGTTGCCAAATTACTTCATAGCGACTATAATTCATGATTTTGTGAGCTATAAACCATGATTTTTAGCCATTTTTAATTATTTCGACTCATTGGCAAATAATTTTGCGGAGACCAATATTCATGATTTTGTGAGTTATAAACCATAATTTTTTATCATTTTAGTTATTTTGACCCATTGATAAATAATTTCGCTGAGGCAAAAATTCATGATTTCTTGAGATAACAAACAATTTTTGACTATTTTTAGTTATTTTGACCTGTTGGCAAATAATTCTGTAGAGATCAAATTTTACTATTTTGTGAGCTATAACCAACAATTTTTAATAAGTTTAGTTGTTCACACCCATTGGCAAATAATTTCTCAGAGATCAAAATTCACGATTTCATGAGCTATAACCCATGATCATTGAACATTATCGGTCATTTCGAACCCTTGGTAAATAATTTTGCGGAGTCCAAACTTCACGATTTCATGAGCAATAATTCATGAGTTTTGGTAAATTTTATTCATTTCAACCAATTGGCAATAATTTTTCATAGATCAAAGTTCACGCTTTCATGAGCTATAACCCTTTATTTTTTTTAATTTTTAGTCATTTCGATCTATTAGCAAATAATATTTTGAAGGCTAAAATTCACGATATCATGAGCTATAACCAAGGTTATTGGATACTTTTAGTCTTTTCAAACTATTAGTATTTTGTAGAGTCTGGACATCACAATTTTTATGGCTATAATCCATGATTTTTTGCCAATTTTAGCCATTTTGACCCATTGTCATATATTTTCTCAAAGCCAAAGATTATTATTTTATGAGTTGTACCCATGATTTTTTGTCACTATTAGTCGTTTCGATCTGTTGGCAAAAGTTTATGATTTCATAAGCTACTATCCGCAATTTTTTATCCAATTTTAGTTACTTTGAATCGTTGTCAAATATTTTCACAGATGTCAAATTCACAATTTAATGACCTATGACCCATGATTTTTAGCATTTTTTAGTCATTTTCGACTCATTGTCAAATATATCTATAGAGGCCAAAATTCACGACTTCATGAGCTATAACCCACGATTATTGCACATTTTTATCGTTATGAACAATTAGTAGATTAATTTGTAGAATCCAAACTTCACAAGTTCATGAGTTATAACCCACTATATTTGGCAAATTTAGTCATTTCAACTCATTACCAAATGACTTCGTGAATATTAAAATTCATGATTTCATGGGCTACAAAAATATGAAATTAAGAATTTTAAACTTGACAAAATTATTTAACATGCTGTCAAAACAAGTAAAAAGGGACAAAAATATGGATGATAGCTCTTGAAACCTTGAATTTTGAATTTTACAAAATTATTTGTCATTAGGCCAAAACAAGTGAAAATGAAAACTATAAATTTTAAAGTTTGCATAATTATTTGCCATTTTGTTAAAACGAACGAAAATGTTCAATATTCATGGATTATATTTCTTGAAATCATGAATTTTAAACTCTTCATAATTATTTGCCATTTGATTGAAACGAGCAAAAATTAATAAAAATCGTTGATTATGGCTAATGAAATCATAAAGTTTAAAATCTACTTAATTTTTCGTCATTTTATCAAAATGAATGAAAATTAATAAAAATCATGGATTATAAATCATAAACTCGTGAATTTTGAATTCCATGTGATTTTTGCCTTTAGTCCGAAACAATCATAGTTGAACAAAAAACATGTGTTATAGCTTGCTAAAATTTTACATTCTTAATTATATTTTAATATTTTTGATTTTATCAAATTGAGAAAAAATGAACTAAAGTTGTGGGTTATAGATCAGGAAATCATGAATTTTGAACTCCATTTAATCAATTGGCATTTGGTCAAAATGAGAGGACATGGATATTAATCTAGATCATAGGAATCATGAATTTTGAACTCCACAAAATTATTTGTTATTTGGGTTGAAATTATGAAAATGGTCAAGATTCATAGATTATAGCTTACGATGTCATTAACTTCGAAATTTGAAAATTTATTTTCTATTTGGTCAAAATAGGAAAGAAACTGTGAATTATACCTCATGAAATTATGATATTTGGACTACGCATAATTATTTGTCATTTCGAAATACTAAAAATTGAAAAGTACAACTCATTGAAAATGTGAATTTTGAACTTCACATAATTATATCTTTTGAAATAATGAATTGTTTGTCATTAGATCTAAACAAGAGAAATGAGGGGGGGAAATCGTGAATTATAGCTTATAAAATCATGAATTTTAAACTCGGCAAAATCATTTGCCATTCATGAGAAGAATTGGACAGAAATTGTGGATAGTTGATAAAATCTTAAATTTTGGGCTTTGTATAATCATTTCTTATTAGGTCAAAATGAGCAAAAATTGACAAAAATCTTTGATCATAGCTTATGGAAACACAAATTTTGAAATCCACATAGTTATTTGTCAATTTTTTCAAAACAAAGAAAATTCGACAAAAATCATGGATTATATAACTCGTAAAATCATGAATTTTAATCTCTACATAACTTTTGCTATTAGGTCGTAACAATTAGATGTAAACAAAAATCATGTGTTATAGGCTTATAGCACAGGGAAATCGTCCGAAATTTTGATGTCCCGGAGTTTACACAATTTAGAACCTTGATAATCCAAAGTTCTGTTTTAGTCATTAGGCAAAAACGATGAAAATTGAATAAAAATCATCAATTATAGCTCATAGAATCATAAATTTTAAACTACGTATAATTTTTATCATTGGGTCAAAAAAATCAAATATTGAAAAAAAAAACGTGAATCATAACTTTAAAAAACCATAAAATTTTAACATTATTTAATTATTTTCTATCAGCCAAATCTAATAAAAATAAACTAAATTTATAAATAATAACTCATAAAATTATAGATTTTAAACTACATTTATTATAACTCATGAAATACTAAATTATTTGTCATTAAGTCATGAATTTTAAACTCAACAAAATTTATTTGTGATAAGATCAAAAAGAGCAAAAATAGACAAAAACAATAAATAATAGCCCATAAATTCTTCAGTTCTAAACTTCAAATAATTATTTATCATTAAATAGAAACTAGCGAAAATAAACAAAAATCATTGACCGTGCTGATGAAATGGTGACTATTGAAAAATGCATAATTATTTGTCACTTTATCAAAACAAATAAAATCGTGAATATTAAATTCTACATAGTTATTTATCATTTTATCAAAACAAATAAAATCATAAATTTTAAAATCCGTGTAAATATTTTCTATTTTATCAAAATGAAACGAGAATATATAAAAATCTTTGATTACAACTCATAAAATCATGGGTACTGCATAATTATTTGACATTTGATCAAAACGAGGGAAAACGGGCAACAATCTTTAATTATAATATACTAACATTTTTCTAAGTTTATCTAAAACAAAAAAACAATATTATCATAATTGGCACAAGCAAACTCTCAACCGAAAAGCAACAGCAGCAGTAACAACCCAGCAGCTTTAGTAAAGCAAATGCGAGAATAATTAATGATACCGATAAATAGGAGAACCACAACTGCTAGAAACTGTCTTAAGAAGAGCAGTACGTTATCAAACATGCTAATCATACTCGCATACCATGAGAAAAGAAAAATGTTCCATGTGAAGAAGAAAAAAAGGTAATATAGAGAGGAGAGAAAGGTCAAATCCCAAACAAGTACACACTTTTTAGCAACTACTTGAATAGCTAAAGGATCTGCTTCTTTCGGTGCAAAATTTGATATTCATAAAATGCCAGCTTAAAAGTCATAATTCACGGTTCCTCTAGAGCTCTCTTCATTGCTATCCATGAGAAGCTGCAGTTAAACACAACGCAAGGATTAGAAACAGCAAAACATTGTTTCGGAAATAAAAGACATGATGAACACGCCTCGTAAGAAATATAAGGATGATCTAAAAACTATTGCAAAGCAATTTTATCATGCAAAAATAATGATACTTCAAGTAGCATAAATATCATATGTCATACATGAAAGGTATGGTAACGTATGTGTAGTACACAATTTGTGCTGGAGTTCAAAATGGAGAGGGTTTAGTAAGCAGCTTAATGTCCAAGAAATACTAATATCAAGATCTCAAGGTTCATAGAATCAATAAATTGAAAAGAGAAATTTCACATTATTAAAGAGAAAACTAAAATTTAACTACAACATAATTTTTTAAGAAGCTTATGAGGCTTGTGGAGCTTAACAAGCATGCCGAATATCCCCAATTATACAAATCATATCCAGCCATGATCCTCTATTTCTAGTTATCAAATGCCATATATAAATTTTTTTTTAAAAACAACTAATTTTAAGCTTCAGTTTCTTTCTGAAGTGGCTATTTTACTAATGGGTTCTTCTGTAATTCAAATTTCAAAGGAGAAAAGTTATGATCTCGCCGCAGAATAAGCCTACAGTTGTGTGAAAGTCATCAAAGGCTTTAAAGAGTGACAAATAAGGCAACAAGGGACATACAGAAAAACCATGGAGTAGATTTGTACATTACTCGAAACGACCTAATCCCCTTTGATCTGCTCTTTATCCTAAGAAATAAGTAATCATGAAACAATGTGATGCAACAAAACAGAAGTCTCGTGAACACATCAATATACGTGCATGCATATTTGTTTATACATGTTACTGATTTATATCTATAGAATGGAAAAAGTCATCAATGAAAATTTTAAATAAAAAAAATACTTGATATCTCCTCTATCCACCGACACTCATAGATATGAAGTATAAACACATTAAACCTCCCCATATTTCATTTTGGGTAGAAATTTCAGATTCCTGATCCTGTGCAGTAGCAATATTCCTTACTTTGAATCTATAAAGTTTTTGAAAATCATTGCAGCCTTCATCTAAAAACACAAAAAGATCTAACTTCATCCACAAAACACAACATAATATGCCTTCATAGTAAATGCTTCAAAATAAAATTCCAAACTATGATAGTTTTAGTAATAATCCTTATTTTTAATGAGAACATAAGACTAATTTTAATTTTTGAATACGGGCTGATGCTATGTTTACGGGCGCAATGCGGCCATTCCGAGAGGCCTTTTAAATACTTTAACAACCCGATGATGATGCAGTGTTTTTTCTTTGCATTTCTTCCATTTACTACAATCCCAGAAATGATTTTCCCCGATTCATAAATGGGATCTATGAAGCACGGACACGCATAACATGAAGTCGTGTCGTGTCGTGTCCGTGTCGGACACACGTGTCGAACACACGTATCCTATGTATTTTTTAGGATTTGCCTCGTGTCGGCGTGTCGGATGGCCGTGTCGTATCCGTGTCCGTGCTACATAGAATGGGATAAAGGGTGAAGGCTTTGTGGGAAAGTAGATGAAGCTAGTTTTTTTAGTTTGGAGTGAAAGGAGACAAGCAGGTATTGCTGACTTCTTCTTCTGCAAATTGCAGAAAATGGAAGTTATGCAAAGAAAGATACCATCATAAATCTGCTAAGTCATATTTGGCCTCACAGAATCGCCACATCAAGCCCCAAGCATAGAAATATGATGACATAGAGAGAAAGCAACAATATTTCAAGGGGGAGGGTAGTCATTTCGTCCTAAACAAAACTAAGCAGGAAGCAAAATATCCAAACTTCAAAGCCCATATAATCTAAATAATACATAAAACTCAGCAGTCAGCACTGTCGTTACTTTAATGAACTAACAAATAACAAATAGAACAACAACAACCCAGAACAGAGTTTGCTTCAACTTACCTCAAATATTGCTGGGATACATAAAAACCCTAACTTTCGCTCCCTACAAAAAAAAACAATCAGTTCAACAAATCAAACCCCAACAAAAATCAAAAAAAAAAACTTGACTCAACTAACCATAGATTTGGGCGGCAAGTTGGACCTAAACTTAGCCCTAACGACCCCACTGTTTCCATGAGGGCGAGTAACCTTCCCCCAAATGCAGCGATAATGGCTGCCTCCAGTCTTCACCTTAGCTTTGTAAATGTAAGCCAATCTCTTTCCACAGTACCAAGCGACCTCCTCCTTCGTGTTCACCCCCTCGATCTGAACCAGCGACGTGTTCTCGTACTGGTTCGACTTCGATCTCTTGTACCCAAGAACCGTTCCTCGAACGTACAACCTTCGATCGAAACCGAGATCAGACATTGAGAATTTTGAAAGAAAGCGAGTACCTTGAGATTTGAACGAACCTGACGCGTTCTCCTTGTCGTCCCTTCGCCATTGCGATCGGCGGCGATTTTCGAGCGGATGAAGAAATTGGGGGCGCGAGAGAAGAAGAAACCCTAGGGTCTGGGGGTTTAAGATGCATATATTGGTATGGTTTTGTTAGGATCTGGCCGTTGAATTCTAACCAACGGTTGTGATTTTAAGTTTACTGGGCCACCAATGGTGGTGGGTGGATGAGGCCCAATCAAATTGGGCTATTTCTTAAACATATCCCACAACAACGAAGAAACTGGGACGAAACCCACTTGTTATGTGTGAACTTTATTTTTTTAAATATAAATTGGGCTGCTCTTAAAGTAGAATTTGGTTATGCTCAAGTCTATAAAGTTAATCAATATTAATGATTAAAAGCTCTAAAATTAACTTCATGTTATGTGAAACATTCAGGTAAATTTTTTGGCATTTACATGATAGAGAATACGAGCTTTGCTACAGGGACCCAATATATAAGACCAACAGGAGGGACAGGTAAGATATCACTCTCCTATTGCATAATGAGCTGGTCATTATTAAGTGAACGAAACTACAAAACAGTTAAGTGCTATTAGCAACAGATTATCCAGGAACAACAGACCAGGATGAAAAACTATAGTTCTGAGCAATAATGAATGGTTATGCATAATAATAACATATTGAAAGACGCAAAAAAAAAAATTGAACACTACCAGTAATGGAACCTGAAAATGAAGAATGTCTTTGAGAAGGCACGGTACATAAAAAAAAAATTGATCCGCGAGCATATAGATAACATTTAGATGAAAGTATGAAATTCGCTACAGCTACTTTTTAACGTTCTCCTGAATTTGAAACTTGCTCAAATTTGAGCAGTTCAACAGGAAGAAAAAATAGTCAAAATGCTACAATCTGGAAACAAAATTTTACCACAGAATCATGAAATATGAGAAGAGGGGAAAATTTTGAACTTCAGCTAACGTGGCATGTCGCATAACTAGAACGAAGATAGCTATATTACACCTCTATTCACTGGATGTTCTCATAATGCTCCTCATATGCATTATCTGAATTCTGTGCATATCATGACCACATTTTGATATTGCCGCAAGAATTTTCAGCTCGAATTCGACGCGCAGAAGCTTTCTGAGATGCCAAAGCATCATTCTCCTGCTTATGTAGAAACCACTACCACATTGAAGGCACATAGACTTGCTCCTTCAAGTTCTGAGTAGCACTCTCTGTAGGAAACCCCCTCACAGCTCCAATAGTCCACTGAGAAATAATCCCAGCAGCAACAGCAAATCTAAGTTGCCTTTCCAACTTATCTTCGTTCTCGTACATCTCCGGATCTATTGTTAGCTTTCTCATGATCGCAGCTACAACTGCATCGCCTGAACCAGTTCGGTCACAAGTAAACGGAGTTATAAGCACGTCCTCCGTCCCGATTACTGTGCCATCAAAATGCGGCGTATAAAAATGTATCCGCAGTGTTCCGTCAGTCACAAATAATATTTTTATTCCGTCATGCCAAAGAGGTGCAATTTCTTCCTTAGTGTAATGATAGTAGTCCCTTAATTTTCTTGTTTGCTCATAGGATTCGGAATAGTATTGAGGCCTGTAGTTTCGCTTCCTCTCATAATGATCTTCATCCAGAAGGAATTCTAGCTCCTGCTTTGAAACCTCGATGAGGTCAGCCTGAGCCCATGCCTCTTTGATTAATTCCCGGGTCTCCTCACGGGATTTCCATAGGGGTAGTGGAAGATTCAGATCGAAGAAAACATTGTTGTTGTACTTTTTCGACAAGGAAATGGCTTTAAAAAGTGTAGGACGCATTGAAGGGGATAACAGAACTCCTGAATTGAAGTGAAAGATCTTAGCCTGCAGATTTTCACATGAATCGTAATTTAGTATAACCTCGCCACCAATTCATCAGCCAAATGATCAAACTCAAAATTCTGATGTAAATATAATTACAATCACTAATCCCCATACTAATAACTGGAATCATTGAAACTATAAACTTACTACAAGTGCTATATGCAATTACAAGCAACTCAAGAGTTTACATGAATTCTGCTGTTACCTAGCTGTACCCTGCATTCTCAATTTCACAAAAAACTAAAGCTAAAGACCTAACATGGTTCCACAACTTTATATAAATGTAAATTATAAGTACAAGCTCACCACCAAATCATTATCCACATCACAAAACTCAAAAATCTAATGTAAAAATGGTTCTACTTATCCATGGAAACAAACCAAATAATTATCAAATAGTTCATTGATTGCTCTTCAAAGTTCAAACTACTCGGTTATATTCGATTAGGCGGTTCGTTTAACAGAAAATGAATAGTTTTTAGTATCGCTTTATAAATGATAGAATTTAATCGGATGTATATTCTATTCACGAATATTACGGTTATATTCTAACAAAAAATACAACCTTTATATTCGAAAACTATTCACGAATATTTGAAGAGTATTTCTATTCGAATTCAAATAAATTCAAAGAAAAATATTTAGATTCGAACTAAAATTCAAAAATTCTAAATGAATACAATGTAAACACGTGATGGGGGGCCCACCACATGAGTGAACGAGAAATCAGCCGCTCGTTTTCCGCGTGAAGAGGAGGTGGGCCAGACCCACGTGAACACAATTTCAGCCGATTTGTTTCCGCGTGAACAAGTTCATCAAGCTATAAATACCGAAGCTAGGGTATTTTTTGGTGTGCAATTGGAGGCGTGGAAGGGTTTTGTGCGGGGTTTTCTTTTGGCGGCTGCAGCAAACACAGAGAACAAAAAAGAGCAGTGCTTTTGGTGGCTATTCAAGGAGGAAAAGCAAGTCTTTTGTAGATGTTCTTTGTTTTTAGCACCCCCTTTGAGAGAGTATTTGTGTGAGGGATCTGAGAGTTTGTGAGAGAGTTTTATTTGTGATTGTAAACCCCAATTGTATCTCTCCCTCTAATAGTAGATCTCCCCCTCCTTGCCCCGTGGACGTAGGCTATTTGCCAAACCACGTAAAAATTTGTGTTCTTGCCGTGATTTGTAATAGCTTGTAAGTTCCCTCGACGCACAGTCCTACAGCTGACGAGAGGAAGAGCTGATGTCTCACTTTGATGAGATATCTGGCTTTTGGTTCTTGTTTCCTTTGAGAAACGAGAATTTCATTGTGATCTAATCTCTTGTTGTGCACATTGCGCACCGGAGGTGCTGCCGAAATTTTCGCTGCGCACAACAAGTGGTATCAGAGCTCCAGGTTGGACTTGGGAGCTTATTTGGAGGATTCGCTGAAGGATTCCTATTTGAAGATTAGATCGACAACATGGATAAAACAAGCACATCGGGATCGTCTCTTACGAAGACGATACATAGTTTAGAGCATCAATAACATAAAGATTGATGTTCCGAAGTTCGACGGCAAGATTAACTTCGGATTGTGGAGGTGTCAGGTGATGGATGCCTTAGACGCTCAGAATTTAGAGGAAACTCTTGAGTTACAAGAGAAACCTGCTGATATGGAAGCTAAGATTTGAAAGAAGATGAATAGTAAGACGTGTGGAGTTATTCGGTCATGCTTGACGCCGGATCTTATTTATGACGTGATGAACGAGACGTCAGCGAAGAAAATGTGGGAAACACTCATGCCCTGTTTGGATGGAGGGTAGAGAGGGGGAGGGGAAGAGAAATGAGGCTTTCACCTTGTTTGGGAGTTTTTTTAAGGAGGGTAGAGAGGAGGAAGGAAGGGTAAAGGAGGGTAAAATTGCTTGGTTTTCTTTCCCCCCCGATTTGGGCGGTAGAGGAGGTTAAAGGAGGGTAAAGGGGTGTAATGACATTCTTACCCCCATCAAAACAAATAAAAGGGCTGATGTGTTATTAGTATAAAGTCATTTATGTAAATTTACATATATTTACTTCCTTTCACCTTCATTCACCTTACTCAACTCCCAAATAACATATTACAATTCTCTTCCCTTTCCTTCCCTTCCCTTCCCATTGTTTACCTTTCCTTCCCTTCCCTTAGTAAACTCCCAAACACACCATCAATGAAAAATATCTTACTAAGAGCATTGAGAATCGGCTTCACTTGAAGAAGAGGTTTTACCAGTTCAAGATGAAGAGAGGAGTTTTCATTAGGGAGCATGTTAACAACTTCACGAAGCTACTTTCAGACATGGCCAATGTGGATATCATGGTTGAGGATGAAGATAAGACGATGCTACTTTTGTGTTCGTTGCCCGATGATGATTATGGTCCTTTTGTCCTAACTATGATTAATGAAAAAACTACTGTTAGTTACAAGGAGATGACATCAGCGTTGGTGAATTATGAGTTGAGGAAGAGTGTTGATGAGTCCTCCGAGAAGGCATCGGGAGATGCATTAGTAGTTCATGGTCGTGGTTCAAACCGAAGCAGGAGATCGCAGTCTAGAGGTGCACATCGTGGGATTCGTAGAAATCAGTGTGCCTTTTATTAAGAGGATGGACATTGAAAAGCCGAATGCCCAAAGTTAGATCGAGCCGAGAAGAATAAGGGGAAAACTGTACAAACGTCAGAGGTGAATGTTATCAAGACTAGTGACAACAATTCAGATTCGGATTCTTCGGGCTATTCGTTGTCTGCACTACCGTCAGTTTGTGTTGTCAACTCTACAGAGTGTATGTTGGATTCGGATGTTTTATACCACGTTTACCCTAGGAGGGATTGGTTCTCCAGCTTTCAGAAGTTAGAAAGAGAGGATGTTGTGCTCATGGGTAATGGACACGCATGCTCTATTGGTGGTATTGATACTGTTCGTATTCGGATGTATGACAGAGTGATTCAGGAGTTGGATGAAGTGAGGTTCGTTCCGCAGTTGTCGAAGAACATCATTTCACTAGGAGCTTTGGTGGCATCTGGCTATAAAATGACCTTGGTGGATGCACGTTTGAAGGTCACATTGGGGTCCATGATTGTGATGAAGGACGTCAGAAGAAGCAATTTGTATTATTTACTTGGAAGCACGGCGATTGATAGCGAGATGACGACTTCATCAGATTCGGCTAGACTGTGGCGTTGTTTGATGCTGTGTTATTTGATTGGTAATGTCGTGCATAGGTTGTTGAGGAGTGCTATGACCTGCAGTTTAAAATTCTGTGAACCCATTGGTATGAGCGAGAAGACCGAGATGGAGTTTGACACTTCTATCCATCATTCGAGGGGTCTTCTGAGAGGTGTTCATTCAGGCATTCGGGAGCCTTCCAAGGAAGCATCATTAGGAGGTAATAGGTATGTGATTTCCGTATTTGGGGATTGCTCTAGGCATTGATGGGTTGCAACCAAGTCCCGTTAGTGTGAAGTCCTAAAAGCCCGCAACAGATGGAGGAAGTGTGTTGGAAGAAAGGTAACCCGACGTTCTAATTATGGTGGGGGTTCTTTCTTGCATTTGTGCCGAGCTCACGGCAATAGGAGACACTTCATTGATGTGAAAACTTTGAGGCGACAAGGCGAGATGGCAGATTTTGGCAGCTATTCCTTTCTGAAGGAGGATTGACGTTTGATATCGAGCATTGGCATTGGTGTGCAGGCTATGACATGTTTGGGCCATCTTATGTATAGATTATTGATTGTTGCATATAGAGATATGGGATGTGGTGGAGCTGTTTCAGATTTTAGATTGCGTCGGATGTTTGGCTACCCAGCACTTGGTCACATCGTGGATGTAAGATTTGATCCGATAGCACATTTGAGATTCAGAGACGTGTTTAATTATCAGGTATTGACTTCTGACTTTGTTCTGAACAGGTATGTCATGTTTAACTCTCGGCAGATGGAGAGTGATGATCAGATCTTTGGGACATCGCAGCGGGTGGAGAGTGATGCTACTCCACGTTGGGTGGAAACTCCAGATCATACTGCATCATTTGGGATTCCAGCTGATGTGACACAGATTGGGAATCATGTTGATTTGGATGCAGATGATTGGTTGATTGATTCAAGTACAGCTGATAGATGTAGTCTGAATATGGCCATTGATTCGTCTCAGGTGGAGGTGTTTGAGGTCATTGGAGGTTCTATCAGCCGCAGAGTTGGTGATATTAGAGAAGGGTTGCGAACTCTTCTATTAGATTGAGGTCGTTTGCGGCCAATTTGATGAACTACGTTCGGTTTGATTCCTTGGACAAGAGGATACGTAGGCAGTCTTTACGATGCAGCCGGTTTGGATTTTTGATGGGGGTGAGACCGATTTGGTGAGTAGATACCGACGTTTGGATGAGTGTTCGTACTCCCGTTTGAGTCTCGACTTGTGTGGATGGAGTCCGTTGTCATGAGTCTGTTACCGTGACATACTGGATGCAACAAGTGAGGCATTTGTTTTAGTTGGTGTCGGCTCAGTTTTGAGAAAACTTCACCGAGGTGGAGAATTGTAAACACGTGATAGGGGGCCCACCACATGAGTGAACGAGAAATCAGCCGCTCGTTTTCCGCGTGAAGAGAAGAGGTGGGCCAGACCCACGTGAACACAATTTCAGCCGATTTGTTTCCGCGTGAACAAGTTCATCAAGCTATAAATACCGAAGCTAGGGTATTTTTCGGTGTGCAATTGGAGGCGTGGAAGGGTTTTGTGCGGGGTTTTCTTTTGGCGGCTGCAGCAAACACATAGAACAAAAAGGAGCAGTGCTTTTGGTGGCTATTCAAGGAGGAAAAGCAAGTCTTTTGTAGATGTTCTTTGTTTTTAGCACCCCCTTTGAGAGAGTATTTGTGTGAGGGATCTGAGAGTTTATGAGAGGGTTTTATTTGTGAGATTGTAAACCCCAATTGTATCTCTCCCTCTAATAGTAGATCTCCCCCTCCTTGCCCCGTGGACGTAGGCTATTTGTCGAACCACGTAAAAATTTATGTTCTTGCCGTGATTTGTAATAGCTTGTAGGTTCCCTCGACGCGCAGTCCTAGAGCTGACGAGAGGAAGAGCTGATGTCTCACTTTAATGAGATATCTGGTTTTTGGTTCTTGTTTCCTTTGAGAAATGAGAATTTCATTGTGATCTAATCTCTTGTTGTGCACCTTGCGCACCGGAGGTGCTGCCGAAATTTCCGCTGCGCACAACATACAAATGTGAACATCATTCATGGTATTTGATTCGGTTCTTTTCCATCCTCATAAATCTATTAGGTGAATAAGCTATAAGCTTACTACAACTACAACATGCAATTAAAAGAACATTCGCATTTAAATGAATTTTCTTATTACTTAGCTTTACCCCACATTTTACTCAATGTCACAAAAATCCTGAGGTAAAAGGCTCGATAACAAGATGTGTGGCATACTATAAACTTGTAGTTTAAATTTTAACATTACAGTAATAATGTTTCTCTCTTTTTCCCCCTACTTGTCCGGGATAAAAGAGGGGTATCGCATTACGTGTCTGACAGCCAGCGTATAACCGAATGAATTTCGCTCGAATAACTGATGGTCCGAGTCCGACTTAAAAACAACTGGACTTTCTCTTTCTACCAAATTATACTCAATTTCACTAGTGCATAAGAGTATGATGCGGAAATTGAACCAATCTCCACTTATAGCAGTTACCCATTGCTAATTTCAGTAAAACCTAACACAATTACAAACACTTCATGGTACAAACCATATAGAAAAACCCAAGTTCTACACAAAGTTTGCGACTTCAACGCCGTTCTTATACCGAATCCCTAAAATTGGATCGCTCGAAACAAATGTATCAAACAATAAATTTAAAAAAAAAGTTACCTCTTTGAGAACAGACACATCAATCTCGGCCACCCCCAACGAATCCTCAGCACACTCCTTCACAGTCTCACTACCCAGGCCTCTCTCCGTCCTCCCCCAAATCCCAACGCACCCTCGTAAGCCGCCGTCAGCCCCATCATCAATCTTAGCCGCCCTCGTCCTGCACCCTCTCGCTGTTCATGCGGTTACACCATATCGTTCCCAACCCATTCGTCCCCGACCTTCCCCAGAACGCCGCCCCGAGCCGCGCGTGCGCGTCGCCACGGTGACGGCGGGCCCCAGGCGCCGCCACGAACTCCGCGGGGCCCCACGAATTCTTTCACGAGGAAGTACTGCGTCCGGGTGCATCCGGACCTCGGACACGCGCACGGGCGGGATGAACTCCCGCTGCGCCGCCCGAAGCAGCACCACCAGCGGCGGGAACTCGTAAGCGGAAGTCCGATCGTCGTCCGACATCTACGTCACGCTCAATTCATCTTCGTCTGTTGCTGGGGTTATCTTCTTGGAGCGGCGGCGTTTTCGACGTAGGTTAGGGTTTGGGGTGAGCGTTTCCTCCGAGCTCGGCGAGGGGCATTTGCGGCCGTTCTGACGGGCCCGTTGCCACCTTCACTGAGGATGCGCCGGAGTTTCGAGATCGAGAGATGGGGTTTAGGGGTTACGAGTTGAGGGTTTTGGGGTTTGATGAGAATGGAGAAGGGGGCGGACTCAGTGGAGTGAAGAGGTTAATGGAGACCATGGCGGAATTTTTAGGGCTCTTATCCAAATTTCGCGCTTTTTAAATTTTCTTCCTGGTGAGTAGTAATGGGTCAATTTTTATGGGCCTCCGTGTCAAAGCTCCTCGGCCTTTCGCGTGGTGCTATTTTCGTTGGCCTCTGGCAGCAGGTCGATATATTTCAATTTAGGACCTCTTCATTGCATATTTAACAGTTTAGTCACCAAACCCAAAATAAACTTTAACAATTAAAAAACTTATGTTACAAAACAGTGAGCAGTGATAACAGGCAACAAGTACTGGAGTAGTTATGACTAGACTAGAGAATTGTATTTCATTTTTTTTTTTCAAAAATGATGTCTCACCAAAGAAGTTCACACTTATCTAGTTTTATAAAAGACATCAAAGTAGTTAACGTCAATCTAAATCTATTCCTCTATATAATGATGGAAGGACCCAAGAGTAACGCTATAGGGATTTGTTGTAGCGTTATTACTGTAGTATTTTCGAAATAAATATTACTGTAGCATTGGGGGAGGGGTACTGTAACATTATCAAAAATATCACCGCAGCATTTTAAAATATATCACTATAGCAAAGATAGGATACTGCACCGTTTTTAAAAAATATTACTGTAGCATTTTAAAAATTTTATAGTGTTTAACAGATATACTGTAACAATAAAAACGGGATTGCTGTAGCGATAAAAAAAGGAAAGGGCGTGCTTCGCATGGGGCGCACACCAGTACTAAAATATTTCTAAATACTGAACTGTGTTTGTGTAGTAAGAAGCAAATGTATTATATATGTATGTATTCGTGGGTCGCTATAGAAGTTTACGAGTAATTAAGAGCCTCAAGTTTTTGTTTATGTACAGGAGTAAGATGGGATTTAATAGTATGGTTAGCATTTCTTCACTGAATAATTGAAAAATTAGTATCAAAATTTAAATCTGCATAAGCATAAGGATACTGAGTATGGGCCCCTCTAATGTCTCTTTCAAGGCAATCACGATGCCGAAAATTGCGAGATCTTTCACACTAGAGGCACACTTTAAACCACACTCTCAACCACACTCCATCACCCGCTACAGTAACAGTAAGCCCTACATGATATTTTAAAAAAATATCATGTAGGGCCTATTGTTGCTGTAGCGGGTGAGTGAGTGTGGTTGAGAGTGTGGTTGGGAGTGTGCCTCTAACATTATTTTTCACCCAATTGGATGGGTATATGAAAATGGAAGTTATTGGTTGGTTGATAAAAGGTAAATTCTTTCTAAAAATCAAGCCTTTTTCTTCTTTGTCCATTGAAAGATGATACTTTGTTAATTTATTCTTCTTCCTTCAGTTGACTTATTATTGATCAACATTGTATTTTTTACTACTGCATGTTGATTTGAGCTCTGCTTGATCAGAGTGTCTTGTATATGCAAAGTAAATTTTTTGACATGCAAAGGCATTTTTTTAATCTTGGATAAATATTAGTTTTATTAGATCATAATTTGTTTATAATTGGGCTGCATGTAATTTCTAGTTGGAATATAGTTACAAACTGCATATTAATCGGTGTTTTATTAACGTGATTCTCTTTGTGGTTTTTTAACTCTGCATGTTATTAATTTATGGATTTATTTCTGATTATTTAGAAAGTTTACCAGAAATGTGTAGTGTATATCATTCTTTAATTTTTTGGATTTTATTTATGTGCAATCTTCTAAGTAGTGCATATATTCTCTATTAGTGTATATTATTGTTAGAACAAATTTTTGAAAACACCCAATTTTTAAATTTATATAGCAAAATCGATCCTTTTTGAAAAAAATCAGCAAAACCAACCCTTTTCAAACCCTTTTCAGATGAAAAGGGTCGGTGTTGCTGCGGAAGAGTTTTTCGAACAGAACTGCTAGTCCCGTGCAGTTCAAAAAAAAACGATATGTACAGGACTGCTAGTCCCGTGCAGTTCGAAAAACACTTCCTCAGCAAAACCGACCCTTTTCATCTGAAAATGGTCAGTTTTGCTAATTTTTTCAGAAAGGATTGATTTTGCTATATAAATTTAAAAATTGGGTGTTTTCAAAAATTTGTCCTTATTGTTATTGGAGATGATGATGATTGTCCGATGTCTACTACCAAAACCACTCACGTGCACTCTCTAGATGATGAGAACACTCCTTGGTCTAAAGAACCCAAAATGCCTTCGATTTCTAAGGCAAACCCTAATACTAGTAAGGGGCTGTTTGTTTGCCAAAAAAAAAAAAATGGCACCCCCCCCCCCCCCATCCACATCAGCTTTTGGTTTCAACACATTTCCATTTCACATGTTTGTTTCGTTTTGTTATTTAAGAAAATGGGGATGCCACCTAGGATGCCATATCACATTTCAAGAGATGTGTTTTCATAACAAAAAACTGTGAAAACACTTGGAAATATCACATCAATGAGTTTTTAATTAATAGAAGCACTGTTGGAGAGTACCATGATGAATAAATTCCTTTTTTAATGAGTCATTTCTCTTTTCATTTTTCTTCTTGTTAAACGAACTAAAGAAATGGAAATCAAAAACACTGTTACTATGAAGGTTTTTTTTGTTTTTTGTGTGACTTGGCAGTGAAAATGGGAGGTTTCTTTGCGAAACAAACAAAATAAAAGAAAACTGGGAAACCTCTTGATATGTGTTGAAATCATTTCCAAAGAGGATTTTCCATTTCCTTTTTTTTTGTGGAAATAGCCAAACAGGCCCTAAGTGTAAGGGTCTGAGATCTACTATAGATAATGAACTTATGCAGCAAATGGTCAATGAAGTGAAAATATTTTTCATTATTAATGAAGTGTGTCAACATGCATAGGGCTTATAAGTTATCCACTGCCATGTATGCTCATTCAAATAACTTCGCCGTCAATAAACTAGATGCATTACTTCGCCAATTTTTTTTGGAATGAGAATGAATCACAGTTTTTTATGTGCGTATATAAAGTGGATCAAAATGAATTGATTAACACTTTCCTATCTAAGGATGAGTGATAGTTGATTGGAGAATATGTGGAATTTATGAGACTCTAACTCTTAACTTTGATGTCATTAGTCCACTTTTTGGGGAATACAATGCTTACTTACTTTCACTGTTTTTTGTAGAGCATGTTGATGCTAGTATTTTGGGTTTATCAAACATTAATATAATGATAAACATATTTGAAATATTATGTTAAATTTACATTGCTAGGCCTTTGTTGACTCCTATATTGCTTGCAATGCTTGGTTTATGGTGATAAACATATTTGTAGAGCATGTTCGTACCTCCGGTCCGGTCCACATTTTGTCAATATGTCTTTTAGGGTCTGTTTGTTTGCCTAAAAAAAGTGGGAAATCAAAGAAATGGAAAACTATTTCTAAGAAGAATTGTTTTGGGAGTGTTTGGTTTGCTAAAAAAAGAAGGAAATCGAAGAAATGGAGATGAGATGAGATGAGTTGTCACCTTATTATAGGATGATGTGAGTGTTTTTTTAAGAAAACTTGTTTTGATGTTGTTTGATTGGCGAAAAAAATAAGGAAATGAATTATAAGAAACCTATTTATTGTAATAGGTTGTTTTCTTTTGTTTGGTTCATTCTTAAAAATAAGAAAATATATGAGATGAGATAAGTTGTCATTATATTATTGGATGATGTGACACACACTTAAGGAAATTGTTTTCCTAGCTTTTTGGGAGGAAATGAGTTAAAATAAAATGTTAATGAGATGAGATGAGTTGTCACCATCTTATTGGATGATGTGAGTGATTTGAAATGATGATATGAGATGAGTTGAATGATGTTGTGGATGAAAATAATATTTTATTAGATGTGGTGGATGAGTTGGTGGATGAAAATAATATTTTATTAGATATGGTGGATGAGTTGTTGGATAAAAATAATATTTTATTAGATGTTGTCGGTGAGTTTTAGGGATGAAAATGGATGAAATTATACTTTTTAAGTTTTCTTGGTTTTCATTTATATTTTTTAGTTTTTTTAGGAAATAACCAAAGAGGCCCTTATATTACTTTCCAGGAAATTATGTTGTCCGCACTTATATGTCAACAAAGTTTGCTATGGTATGAATATATATGATCCTCGTCAACACTTTTCAATGGTGGCATTATTTCTATATTTGAACAACCTACAATGTCCCTACATTGGACCAGATGGCTTGCAAATGGGCGGTTCAGGGTATTCATTTAATAAACTAATTTTTGATTTGAATTTCCTTCATGTTATGATGTGTTTCACTTAAGGGGCTGTTTGTTTGCCTAAAAAAAGAGGGAAATCAAAGAATATGAAACTTATTTCTAAGGAAAATTATTTTGAGATTGTTTGGTTGGCTAAAAAAAAGAAGAAAATCAAAGAATGTGAGATGAGTTGTCACATTATTATTGGATAATGTGGGTGATTTTTTAAGAAAACTTGTTTTGAGCTTGTTTAGTTGGCTAAAAATATAATGAAATAAATTATAAGAAACTTATTTCCTGTAAGAGGTTCTTTTCTTGTGTTTGATTCATTCATAAAAATAAGAAAATAGATGAGATGTGATGAGTTGTCATTATATTATTGGATGATGTGACCAACACTTAAGGAAATCGATTTCCGAGTTTTTTTGGAGGAAATGTGTGAAAATAAAATGTTAATGAGATGAGATGAGTTGTCACCATACTATTGGATGATGTGAGTGATTTTTAAAGATGAGATGTGATGGAGATGAGATGAGTTGG